ACTCTTTCCTCTGTTTCGAAATCGTTTTATATATATAGATATATATAGAGAGAGAGAAAATTCGGTTTCCGCGACGTGTGTGTCTGCGTCGTGTCTTATCTATCTTGTAAAATATCTGTGAATATTATGATTTAGTTTCTTCCTATTATAGGCTACTGGTATACAAAAAAGTTTATGTTACTACTTACTTAAGAGAAAGAAATGTACAGATATCACCATTTTTGTTTTGTGTTTTACTGTAGTTATTGATAATTATATGGATATTAACGATAATAATAACTATGATTAAAAAACTTCAGCACGGCTCGACGCGTCATTTTTGAAACCCGTTGAAAGTGTGTGATGTTTACTTTATACGCGAGATTCTTAATGGGGATGACTTATTGCTTATACGATTCGTTGATTACACTGAGAAGAAGAAAAGGAAAGACACTAAAGCGTTTACCATTATAAATCTGTCATTTAGAAGTTTAGAAGCTGGACTTCATCGTCGTTCAAGAGGCAAAAATAATATAACACATGAACATAATACAATCCGTAATTTATTTGCATCTTATGTGACACGTTATTACTATGGTTTCTGCATTGCTTTTTGTATAGCTTTCACACTAACACTTGTTCAATAACTTTTAAATCTTTGTTAACAAACTCAAATATAATTTATCTTTTTTCTTATTAAATATTCAACATATAAAATGCATACCTCTGAGGGCTAATAAAGAAAAAGATATTCATTTCTCAATATGCGAACAATACGGAACAAATTTTGTTACTAAAAGTATGTGTGATATACAAGTTACGAAAATAAGATTTTTCATAGTATTTCACGCCCTCTTTGTAACGTCCACAGTATTAAGATGCATTTCTATCTTACACTGGCGCTTTGTAATTGGTTATAAAAATTTCTCATATTATTCATAAATAAAATATAAATTTTAAATCAACAAAATATTTGACTTGAAACGTGTGTCAAATATCCCGTGAATTTATTCTTAATAATACATTTTTAAGATTTTTTTAAGTGATGTCACAGTTTTATCGATGGTAGGTAACGTACATATCTTATAAGTACAGTCGAGGTCTGTGCTTCTAGATATAAACTGTATTGTAAGTAAAAAACAAAATATGTTTGATATTAATATAAAAATCATAAAATAAGTATAACATATTCAAAAATTACGTCAGAATCATTTCCATCATCACATAATATTTTGTATTGTTGCCATATATTGTTGAGAATTTGTTTGCATGCATTTAATTATAGACGAAGCAAAGTACATTTAAACTATGGATCAATTTATTCCAGTAGATATATATTCGATTTTTCTTTTTTAATCAAAAATATTTTTCTGGAATGCAAATAATATACGGCAATTTTAAATAATTTGTAGAATACATTAAATACATTTTTTAGTTGATGATTTAGATTTTATTGTTTTTTAAAAAATTCCTTCAAAATTGTATATTTCGATAATAATAATAATAATAATAATAATAAATGTAGATTTATTTCTAACTTTCAAGAAATGTTCAATTTATATTGGTACATTATTTAAAAATTATATGCAATAAATAACTATTAGCATATGTAATTTGATAAAATACACTATTATAAAATAGAAGACTTATAATTCCAATTATAGTGATCTAAATCTGATTCTCTAATTTTTCACAATATGAATATTTTATATTAAGTATGACATTATGAAGTTATTATTTTAAAATTGTTATACTATTTTCTGTATTTACTGAAAGATGTTATTTAGTTAAATACTTTGAAATTTATAGAATGATACATAAAATTAATTTAATGTAAAAAGTTAATGTAAAAAGTGAAGAGAAAAAAATTGTACAAGTTATAATAACAGAAAATTTATATTTATAAATATCTGAATCACGTTATTTGAAACTAATTATTAAAAAAACAAAATTTACTTATGCATTAGCTCATACACTTAAATATTTAATACATTTTATAAAAATGATTTTGAGAATCCAATTTTTATATGAGTGTGTATTAAAGTTAATTTTGTTTTAATAAATATAAAACATATATAATTTAATATCTTTATATTACACTTCTTTGATTTGAAACTAATATTTTAGCTCCACGCAGAAAATTTTTATTCATGAATATATTATGTAAAAACATTAATAATATAAATATAAATATGAAATAATAGCAAAATTATGGATCGTATGTAAGTATTACAGCATAGAATGTAATGATATTGTGCTGCAAATTAAAAGTGTATTTTAACATACGTATATACATATAAATTATAGAGGGCGTAAGGCGTACATGTATCAAAATGGCTATCATTCTATATACGTAGAATAATCTACGACATAGTCTTCAGTGTTTTATGTATATATAAAGTGTGAACCGGTTGTATAACGTTTTTGCATTATTCGAGTCATAAGAAACGAGTGTATATTCAAGAACTACATAGATGTGATGATATAGTGTAGAGATATAAATACTGAATTGTTCTTAGGTTAAGCAGTTACGTCAAGAGTGCATTGTAAGATTGTTTTATATATTTTAACACGTCTATTTTCTATATTTCTTTCTACATGTATATAAAGCAGCTTAAATAAGCAGTGTTACGTGTATGTCAACAGCGTGATATATCAACATCTTATAAGCATTTAAAGGTTTTAGGATGGCGTTATCTCGTATCAGTAACTCTTCCTATTTATTGACAACTTTGTCACAAACTTTGCGTACAGGTATGAAATTTATAACTTTCACTTTTACATACAAGCTTACATGTGTTATTACTATTTCTTAAAATTGATTTAAATTGATTAATTAAACTAAATTAATTTTCATATATTTCATATATATATTTATGATCATTTATGATTTAGTATATATATATATATATATATGATCATTTCATACATTTTATAATAAAAAAAAAAAAAAGTAGTAAATATCTTCAAAATTACTGTTTCATTGAATCAGTTATGTAACGCAATTAACATCGAATAGAACTTTTGTGCATGGGAACAATTTGGAATTCACGTAAAACGTGTTCATATATACTCTTCCTAGTATATATGAAAAATGAGAATATTTTAAATATAATATTTGCAAAAATCTATCACGTTTCGTGATTCGTGTCAAAATCCATTAGATTTTTTAAAACTGTCATTATTTATTTGAATTCTTTCATATACTTTTGAATTAAAATTTTTTCAGTGAATATGCCGTTAGACATGCAGTGTGTACGATATGCAGTTGTACATCAAAATCGCATGAAAAATCTTCATGTTAGCAGTCTCCGTCGATATCCCGACGCTCCTACCTTACCTCTTCCGACAAATGTGTCTGAAATATTTGCGAACGAGACTGGACGATTTACTCCTGAAAGAGCACGAGATATCGCTGCTCCAGTACTATTATATGGCAAGAATGATTGCAGATCATATTTTTCCAAACAATTAACAAAACCAGCGACATGTTCGAGTAGCTTGGAAAACTGCAGCGACACTCACATAGATTCGTACGACTGTTTTGGGGCGGTCAGTTTGAATAGCACAATGCAGAGCAATGTACCGAAACCATTTTGTTCCAATGGAAAATCTACGCATTTAAACATGCCGGGCGGTCAGTGGGCCAGAGATGGAAAATACATTGCCGAGGACATGCAGAAATCGCATTATAGGAGCATTCGTTTACCTCAATTGAAACTGGATAAAAGTGGTTAGTAAAAGTTCGTCGAAATAGAAACGTTTCAACGATCTTCTGCACCTTTTTCTTATCAGAGTATCGAAGTAAGAAAGAATTGCGCATGTATGTAAAAATTTTACAAAGAGAAAATATTTTGGATTTTTTGAAAGTCGTATAACATAATTATATTAATGCTTAAATTTTTAATTTGTTAGTATTAATTTTCTAATTAACCTTTTAACCCTTTACTAAGATAACGGAAAGATAGATATTATTCAAACTTTAATTATTTAATTAAATATTCCGTTGAAAATTTTGTTAAGGAAAGCTATTGTAATATTGTATTAAAGTTTACTAGAAAAGATTCATTAATATTATTTTTATTACATTTATTTTATACCACCTTCAATTCCCTTTAGAATTACTATATTTTAATATTAAAAAAAAGTTGAAGTTTTATCAATTCTATTTCTTGCCAGTCAAGATTATGACTCATTGTTTATCAGTTTTAAGTGATGATGACATTCTTTTTTCCGTTTAGGTGCATTCATTGTATCTATTTTAGTGAACTGAGTTGATGTCGAAGAATTGTAGGAATTAAAATTTGTTACGAAATCGTCATTATCGACTTTTCGAATAAAAGCGTTTCAATGTGTTACATTGTTGTACAAAGAGTTAGTTTTCTCATTGAAATTTATTTGCAAATATTATAAAAAGAATATAAAACATGTTGATGGCAGACGGATTATTTATTTGCAAATCACTAATATCGTGATAATTGATATAATATAGTCATAAATCATAGGCTGTTATAATGGCTTTTTGAAGCAAAAGGGTTAACAAGGGAAACAAAATTAGCCCTTTTTCAATAAATTGTGATTAGAAATTGTAAATTTATTAGAACATGCTGCAAATTTGTTTTCTATTTTAATATTGTAAGAAAAACAATGTGGAAATTGTAATATGTCATTCAGGACTAACAAGTTATATCACGACGAACACAATCTTCCAAACAATGTACAAACCAAAATATATCTACATTATGGAATATTCGACGAAACCATCGCAGCCGGTAAATAATGTTTTAAATACTAACAATAATAAGGATCAAGGCAACGTTACTCGACTAAATTTATCCACAAAATCAAGACTTAGAAATACAATAAAGGATTTTGGATATACCTGTTTAGCATTTCATATAGGAATTTCTCTGTTATCCTTTGGTGCTTGTTATACAGCTGTGGATAGGTTCGTTTTTGCAATTATATTCAACTTTTCTTATATACAATTCCTTTTATCTTGATCTTTTAATATCAAAATTTGTTGGAAAATTAAATGTAATGTACTAAATTAATTGCACTAAAATAATTTCATACATTTATGATAAAAAATTGATTTCAGAGGGATGGATTTTGCACCAATTATCCAGTATCTATTCGATACAAGTGAAGAGAAAACGAAAAATCTTATTACTGGTTCAACTTTTGTAGTTGCGTACAGTATTCACAAATTAATGGCACCTATACGAATATCAATTACATTAGGGGTAACGCCATTTCTTGTATCATATTTACGAAAAGTTGGAATTATTAAAACTTTACAGAGAACACGGATACTTAAAAATAGCAGTTAGTACAAGTTATTTGTTTCCTACTGTAAGACTTTCGTATATGTATACTTTGTAACAATATGTGTATAAACCAATTTGTTGAAATAAATTCACATGCGAATACAAACAATTTGTTTTTATGTATATATTCAGGTTTATTATATAAAGAATATAATAGTTGTAATTACTTTACACAACGTCACGTATATTTCATATATGATACTTTGCGCATCTACAATAACGTAAGTACGGCTGTTGTAATTACAATATTTTTACTAATAAGATTTTTTTCATCAATCGCCGTAAATATATGACATACACAAAAGCTCGGCAGTTTCAATGGACGAATTCATCAGTTATATTGGAACAATGATCGCGCTCGATACGCAAATTCTTACTGAGTATTTTCGATTCGACTCGCAGTTATCGAGTCTTTCGAGATTTGATTACGCATAGGAAACATACGAAAATGCCAATTATTTGGCAAACATGTATATGTACATAACTTTTAAAAAATATATTATAGTACATAGTAAAATTAACGTATATAAGTATATATACAATTCAATTAACCTAGAGTAGTACACGACTTACAATTTAATTTTATATCTTTCAAAGATATGTTTGCCTCGACTGTATTCTACAAAGGCAAGGTGTTTCTAAATGCATCAAAGAAGAAAAAAACATCAAGAAGATTCTTAATACAATTCTTAAATGTTGAGAATAAAAAGGTCTTAAATTTTCTTATAATCTTAATTGAATATAGTAAAATATTTCTAAAGCTGCTTTGTAAAAGTATAAAAATTGTTCGCGAGATTAGTAAGCGTAATTGTTCTTGATTTATCCATCAAACTTAAAATGGAAGCTTTAAAACTACAATGAGACACAATAATATCCACTGCTTTTGTGCATAGTAGAAAAGTATACTTATAAACGTTGAACACATTTTTTGCAGAGAGTTTGAGCGTTTATAACTTAAACGATTAGCCGTTATGTTGTGATCTTGTATTAATACGAAAAGGAAGAATTCAATATTAAAGTATGATGCAAACATTTTCTAATAATACTTGCAAACTAATCAATGATTAGTTTTAACATTTTATACAATTCTTATGCAACTCTCATAAAAATAAAGTGGAAAAATTCACAAATATTTTAAACAAACATATAATCTCGATAAAAAAATATTTTGGCACAGTACACTTGCATAATCTGTCTTACTTTTTATATGCACTGATAAGATACAAAAATAATATAAAAATGCATATCTTACTATTCAGATATCTTTCTAATAAAACAAATTTAATAACATTACATTATACAAATAAAGAAATTTTATAAAATACAGTACAATATATATTCTTACGCTTCAATCTGATTAAGGTATTATTTGAGCGTTATATTCAATAGTCAGATGCAATAGTTTTTTAAAGGCAAAATTTTTCCACTTTCGTTACATAAAATTAGTTAAGTCTTTAAACATACGCTTCGGCACGACGCCCTTGTATGTGATTGAAAAACTGTCGCCAACTCGTCAGTGTTTTACTTGACCATACCCAAAAACTAGATGTTATACCGACAATCATAGCCATTAAATATTTTATCATGAAAACTTCAAATTCTGGTCGTCTCCCAACATCTCGAGTACGCTCTCCAACGGGACACGGCATTGAATATAAAGATTGTGGTCCAGGTCTTGAACACATCTCCATATTCCAAGTTAACATCCATTGATCAAAGTATGCTTGCTCATAAAATAAGCAAGCAATGACAATCAATGCAGGAACTATGTATAATACAGAAAATATACCAATACGTATCATTAACTTTTCTAGTTTGTCAGTCTTTGTACCATCGTGTTTCATAACAGTACGTATACGAAAAAGCGAAACAAAGCCAGCTAATAAGAAAGCAGTTCCAAGAATTAAATAAACGCATAATGGTGCCAAGACAAATCCACGTAGAGCTTCAACATTCCAAAGACCCACATAACAAACACCAGATAATATATCCCCTATAAAAATAAAGTAATGTATTAATCACAAGTATATAAATTATATCACATAATTTTACTCATACATTTCTGATAGCTTACCTTCCACCTTTCCCATTGCAAGAATAGTAACTGTTTTTATTGCTGGAGCAGCCCAAGCAGCTAAATGAAAATACTGTGAATTAGCTTCTATTGCTTCATGGCCCCATTTTAACCCAGCAGCTAGGAACCATGTCAATGTTAAAATGACCCACCATATGCTGGATGCCATCCCAAAAAAGTAAAGTACCATGAAAAGTACCGTGCATAATTCATGCTTGGTACCTTGCGTTATTGTTGATGTCATTTGAATTCGCATATCTAAAGGAGGTGGGAAAGGTTCTCTGCATGCAATAGAATTGCCAGCTGCCCAACCAATCACATATGCCAATGCTACCATAAGGTAACATACTGACAAAAAAATGATTGGCCTTTCAGGATACCTAAATATAAAATAATGTCTACAATATAGTACAAATTACCACATATTTAAATAACTAATAGTAAAAAGAATTTTATACCAGTATGTTACACTTTTCGTATATCATATGAAAATTTACTGGAATGTGTGTCTTATAAAGACAAATATCATAATTTACATTTTGTATTATACTTAACTCGAAACTAATTATATTCCTTATCCTTATTCATACTTATGAATATAATATAATAACGCATAATTCCCACTGATCTTCCTACATTATGCTAATGTGCCTAGATTATACATTAATATGAATACAATCAACACATTTTTTTACCTGAATCTATCTGTGTCAATGAGAAACGTCAGGAACGTGAAAAAACAAGAGGCTGCGCAAACGGACGCCCAAGTACCAACCCAGATTCTTGAAAATCGTCGTTCCCTTTCAGTGAAAAACATTCCATCACAAGGTGCGCCGCAATTAGACTCAACTTTATCGCCGACCTTCAGCGAGTAACCGAGTTCATGCGGGACCTTGAATTGCATCGGACAAACGAAACCAAAGTCTCTGGCACCCAACATAAATCCGCTACCGTACGGTTTCGGTCCCCCGGTCCAGGATGGTTGAAATTCAGCTCCGGGCATATGCGGTGGCGAATACACCGGTGGCGACGGTTCTGGTGGTGTAGTCTCATTGTGACCGACACAAAGTTCGGGTCCACCGTTTTCAGGTAACTTGGAACAATCGAGATTGTCTGGCCAGGCGAAACCGAAACTATTCATTAAACGTTCGCACCCTGCACGAGCACTCTCGCACAACGATCTGCACGGGGGTATAGCTCTATCGATGATGGTGCACACTGGCGCGTACACTGTGCATAAGAAGAAACGAAGATCGGGACTGCATTTCATTTTAACCAAGGGCGCGAACTGATGCACCTCTTGGCCAGCGTCTTCTTGCTTTTGGTGGTTCATTAAATTTGGCATTATCGTTTCGTTGTATGGGATGTTCATGCATAGATTAATGGTGATCGGTTCGCATCTTCCGTGATGCGCCAACGGATCTTTCGCGTGAAGAGCATTGACACCGAGCACGGCCACCGAAAGAACATAGATCGTCGCGTAACACGGAATCATTGTTGCGTATCGTTGCTCGACCGCCACTTCCGAGATCAATTGTCACGCGAAGTAGCTTCCGAAAATACGCGAACGCACCACGCCTTCAAACATCACCAACGAATCGTGCGGGACATAATAATACTGAACGGATGGAGCAGGGAAACGAGCGTACCTAGCGACGATGATGGACGCGACCACGGTACTGTAAACAGAACATGGCGCATACGTTCCGATAGTAAGGAAACTCTTACGAGACCGATGTACGCCGCTGCTGCCATCTATGAACATATGTCGAAACTTTGCACATTCTTCAAACTAGCGGGAAACAGTAAAAGTCTATATCACATGAAGTTTATATTTATAATATAAATAAATAAATAAATAAATAAATAAATTATACTTCAATTTATGTTACTACTATTTCCTACTACATTCTATACTATACTCGGCTCTAAACTACTTTGATTAAAAAATACAGACATTTTCGGGTTTTCAATGACAAGACACGAGGTCAATCGATTCATTTTGATTTTATTTCTTTCCCGACATATAATGCACAATACGTTCGATTTCGTTAGTTGTAATGTTTATTCATCGCAGATGATTAGCGTTGTCGTAAGTACTATGGTTTTCTTTGTTATATCTTTTGTTTTAATTATATAGTACATACGTGCTCGTGGAATTCGTGCACTTTTAGACGGGGTCGCACCTTCGGGCGGTCATTACCACTGCATGTTATAATGGTAATCTTTGAGTTATGCGAGTTGCCCGAAATACGATTCACAAACGGCCTCGTTATCGTAAACAAATAAATAATTTATCTCCTCGGAATACTCTCAACTTGAATCGTCACATTAGACATAGGAGGTCAGCCTTACGATCTTACGATTAGTAACACTTAAGATTCAATACGGAAGATTGAAATATGTCGAGGGAGCCACTCTTTCGCCTTCCTGTAATTTCAACGGTATTAAAGATCATTCTGCCCGCCATAAAATGAAGGAAGTCTGTTATTAAAGAAAACACGATCCGACGGAACGATCGAATGAACTTCACATTTTTGCATGTTGCTCCTGTTGATCCTTTCGATTGAAATCAACATTCCTTTTTCTAGCTCGTATCGTATCAAGAAGAAAAAGGTCACTTTAGATATCATTTACACTTTGCTCGAAGGAGCGAACTACAAATCACCTATAGAAATATCTGTGTAGTATAATATATATATATATCTATATTAACGCTACAATTTATCGCGTATAAAACAACATAATAACGAGGAAGACGATTGATAATGGTAGGTTTGAAACTTTTATAGCGAGGGCAGACAAGGTAAGTAAAATCATTTAGTGCACGAAACAGGTTTACGCATCGTCATATACACACACATATGTATATATATATTAAACGCTATACCCTTTCAAATTTTATTATCGAAGATTAATTCTCAAATGGATCGTATACGTTCGTTGGACCTATCATTTTTCATTTTTTCTTTTCGAAAAGAACAACTGTACAAGCGGGAAGATCTGACGATCTTTGGGCGGCTTAATAGGTTATGATTGGCACAAAACATGAAGTGCTTCGCGAAGTGTACTGAGAGAGACATCTATGAGTCTCGCCTTCCCTTGAATGAATTATTCGCACTTCTTACTCTCTGTGGAACGTATCAAGATTGCGGGAGAAATGTTTCTTAAATCGTGGCACGACCTGCGCGCGTATTATCTTAATACGTTCCAAAAATGTGAAATCATTGTTATTACTGATGCAACACTTTAAGTCTTTCTTCTCGAATACCCGCAAATTTATATTAACTTTTACGCCTTTTATAGTATAACCTAACTGAATCATTAAACTCTTTATAATTAATTAAACATCTGTAACAAATAAACATCTGTGAAAACAGTGGTATTACGTAATTGTATTAAAATAAACATTTACCTTGAAACACATTCAGTAACATATTTGGAAGAATTCGAACGCATTACGCTCTCCACGTAAAAGGAAAACAAAGAGTGGCTCGTGCTTTTTACCTCGACAGAAGTCGACTAGCATCCTCTGCTCGTACACAATCACGTCGAAATGTGCACGCAAGTCTCGTTATGCACATATAGGATTAGAAGTGTGGTATACGTACAGAGGTTCGCTGGCAAATACGCACCTGTACATAATTACGTGCAAAATCCGTCGCGCAATGTCAGAAGAGAGTTGCTTCTACGGTTAACACTTTGGAGGTTAGGTTGTACGCGCGAAACACACGTGTCGTTGGAACAGTATTGGTGAGTATTTTCATCGAGTCTCTTATACGTTAGAAAATCAGAGAGAAAATACGGCGTCCCAAAACTGATCAATTCGATCGAAGTTTCGATTTTTGATTTTAGCACGATTAAATAAATTTGAATTCCTCCAAAGAGTCAAGCCTGTTCGCTCGTTCCGAAAAAACATAATTGATGCAATCGTGTTTGTAATAAAACGTCGTGTATAATTTACACACCTTTCTTGATTAGCACCGAACTTAACCACTAGTCAGTTTACGTACGCGTACATATCTGTATAACAGTGTTCACGCACGGTCTACTCTAAATTGTAACCATATGTTTAAAACTTCGAGTGAAATGCAATTCATTCTTCTGCCGTTGCGCCGTATGACACGCAACAAGTAAATAGAGATTAAAATACTTTCGAGACATTCGAAAAAATGGACAGACTTTCTTGGAATATTCAGCAAGATTAATATATATAATGCTCTTGCGTAAATTACCGCCAGCGCGCATTATATTATATTTATTCGTACCTCGCGTACGTGTAGATATATTTTCATCTATTTATCGATCTATCTACCGTCCTTCTAGCGACACTAGTCCGTGCCCAACTAACCTTTCCGAGTGTGTCAGGTGCGTGTATATCGTATCACGTAATTTTGTACGCGGGGAAAAACGAATTACATGCAGGAATAATGCATCCATAAAATATTTCTATTTACAATCGATAATTTTATGATTTTTTTAAATGGATACCAGATGTTAATTTATAACTAGATTTTACGATTAAATTTTAAGCCAATGTTAGGCTTAATACTTATGCTCGCATTGGCATAACCTCAAAGTTTAGGCAATACGTTTAAAATGGGTAATAAATCAAATCTTTATGTAAATATACTTGTTATACGCCTTAGATAAAATTTTAATTAGATAATTACTGTTGTCAATTGGGATAAAAAGGTAATATTTATAGACATAATATGGCCTGGCAACTATTGCCACCTAATATCTGTGTAATTTTAAAGGTTAGAGAAAGATTCATTCGACAAATAAGCAGTATGGCAATAAAAATGAAAAAATTTTTAAATGCCTTTAAATATATATTTCACGTATACGAGATAAATATATCAAAAATTCTTTAGACGAATATAAAGACGTCTGAAAGTAAGGTCATCAAAGGCCGTTTTAAATCCCTTTAGTGCAGCTGTAAGGAACTTGTTTCTGTCTTTGTACTCGCCTATATAGCTTTTACCATGATTTAAGAGGAAAAAAAAAGAAAAAAATTACTCTAACTAAAAAATTTTGGTATCTTGAAATTGTTGCTGTAAAGAAATTTTTATCGCTGCATACGATGCTTCCACTGTTATTTCAGTAATAAAATTTTATGGTGGCAGCAGTAACTAGGCCACTCTTTAAATTTCGCCTCTAACAGCTTAATTCTGAACTAATCCTCTTTGACTTCTCTCAGAGAACTTGATAAAAATTTGTAATAAATTTAATAAAAATTTATTGGGATTAAAATTTCGCTATTTCGAATATTTCTCGAGATTTAAAATTCGTAGAAATTATCTAAAAAATTATCTCAGACTTAGTCATCGTAAAAGGGTGAAGTACTTTCTAAAAACATGATTTATAGTTGCCTCTAGTAATTTACGTATCAAGTACCATAAACTTACGCCAGAGTAATGGCAAATTATACGTAATAAAATTTCGTGTTGAACACGCTATAAAACACGAATGGATGAAAATTTTTTTTTTTTTTTTTTTTTTTTTTTTTTTGTTTTTTTTTTCTCCCTCGAAATGTACATTAAGTTTTATCTCGAATGGTAGCTTCGTGAACGTCACTCACGTGACCTATACGTATCAATACCCGTATACCGATATAATTTCTATGAATTTCACGCGTGACGTTCACGCGCGCGGCCATTGTGTACGTACTGTTCCGCGAAAGGAGGTACTCAGCTACGCGGATCACGATATAACACGCACCACCTGCACACGTCGAATATAACAAAAAGAGTGTAACGAACGAAATCGAAGGAAATTAGTAGTACGGTTGCACTTTTGAGCAAACGATCGCTCTCATCGCGTATCGTAGTGAACATTTCGCATTTTTCTATACGCAACGAGATATCGTACGCCTGGGAAGATACATATTTGGCACTGGATTCCCTTTGACAGAGCTTCTCAGGCTCGAATCGCAATTCATCCCGCTTTAATTAATTATGATCACGTCGATCTTGGATTAGTAATACCGGTCATCAATTTTCCTTTCAGAAACAACAAATCGTTAGTAAATTAATTTTTGCAATTTAATTATAAAATTTGTTAATTAAAAATTTTGTATATACTTTTAATAGGGAATTAGTATAAGGAAGATTTAAAATTAAAAATGTTTTAAGAGAAAATATTATTTCTTAGTTTCTGAAGTGCCCAAATACTGTTCCAATTCTCTCATTTTATTTCTAAACTCTGCATCAAAAAATGAATCATAAGGCATCTTCACATCAATTCTAATGCTACTATCACTTTAATAAATTCAACTTCCTGTATGCGATAAAATCAAGAGAATTCTAATAAGAAGAAAATATTCCAACCGAGGTATATTATTAACAACCGACATGACTGAGCCAAGGTCAAACGAAGCGGCAACTATACTGTCGCACACCAGCGACGCAAAATACCGTTTTTCTCGCTACATACCGGCTATATACTTTCGCGTTTTCGTTCACGTATCGCTGTGATTAAGACCCGTGGAATCTATCGAGATCAAAGGAACGATATCGACCAACGATCGAGAAATTTTAACGAGAACCGCTCACACAGCCCCGTTCATTCCGCGGCAGGACCGTAGCCATTCGACGCGACTCCCAGGCTCCGCGTTCATAGTTTCGGTTCGCGCGTACAGAACTTTGGCAAATTACGTTTTTGTTATCGTGCATCATCGCGCGGTCGTTTAGGATTACGAAAAAAATATACCCGGCCGCGCATGTATTATGACTAGACAGCTTTGTAGTCCTCGCTACGGTGATCGAAGACAATCAACCGTCACGTCCTGCCGACGCTCGCGCCATCTCCACGCATTGACGCGTATCCGTCACACTGCACGTATGCAGCAAAATTGAAATCGACTATACCACGATCTTGCGAGGCAACAACCTCGTTAACAAGGAATACGGAATATCGATAAATTCAAGAGAATAACATCTTCGTCTTTAACATTTCTGAACGGAACACGATATTTAATTGAATGAAATCTAAATTATAAATCTGAAGAATTTCTCACTAGCTTTGAACATAAATTTTAACATCTAAAAATGAGCTTTATTTTTTATTATTATTGTATTGTTATTATTAATGTTATTCGAGATATTTTATTTGAATTACTTACGATATTTTTATCGAACCTAAAATTTATATCGATAAAGACGAGCAAGTTATTTTTATCGGTTGATTCGAAGGAATCAATAAATCATGTTCGATCGTGGTAATGCAGTTCGATTTACAGGATTCTTCTTTAACGATTGAGCATAGAACGCCGCCGTAAATACGTGTCCAAACTAATCCTAATTTGATCTTAGTAGTGTCCCTAAAACTCGAGTATCTTAGTCGCTTAATCAAGGTATAGGGCTGCTCGTAGCCGGCTAAAAGACACGAGGAGATTGAACGTCGACAGGGATTAGATCTGCGCGGACCCGATTGACGTTCTTCGAGTCGTTTAACGAGGAGGACATCGTACGACGATGATATGGCACAAGATTTCCCTTTATACGTTTCTTTAACCTTATTCCTTAGCTGTTCATCACAGTGGATCGCCTGGAGTAGCCTCGTCTCGTTACCGTTTCACCCTGAGCCTCGCACTCCCTTTTCACCCGATCGATTATGTCAGCCACCAGTTTCTCTTCTTTCTCCCGCTGCTGCTCCCAGTCAGGCCCTTTCCCGATCTGTCAGGGCACGTTTCACAATTTTCGCCCTTACTCTCTCGACCGTAAACGATCCGATTGATCGAACGAAGGATTCGCAAACGAAGCAGGCAGGCAGGCAAACTAGCAGGTCGGGAGCTGGGGTGACACCGAAAACCCGTCTCCCATCGTTCTTTCTCGCATGCTTGGTGCTTCGATGAACTACCGAGAGATTTAGCTGTACTAAGTGCGGGTGCATCACCGTTTTCTTTAGAATACAAGCACATTGCGTTTTGAGGTTAACTTGAACGTTGAGTTTTAAGGTTAAAGTAACGATGCAAGCGACTTTTGTCAAATCTAATCTAAATCGCCATCTCAATTAAATAATAATTAATTTTCTACTCTAACCTCAATCCGAAAACATTACGTATTCTCTATTAGTACAATAAAATTATAAAATTTCACTTTGCACTCTCCAACGAACACGTCGTAGAAAATGAACATTCTAGGTTAGTAGTTCTTAATTTTATCAAAGTTACGGAACATTTTTGGTTACGAGAAAAATTTACGAAACACTAGAAAAATTAATTACATTTCGTCTGCGTTTTAAACTGTGTACATGCTGATTCACACTGAAATTCGTCCAAGTGTAATTTCCTATCTAGTATATTGTTTTCAGGATTTCGCGGAACACTAGCGCTGCAAGGAACGGTTAACACATTCAACGCCATGATGGTCACCGATGACAATCACTTGACTTTATGCACTAAATATCGACACGTGATAAATGTTTCAAAGTAGGTATATATTACCCGTAATTATTTACATTTGCAAAATTAATATTATCTCGATAATACCAAGAAAATATAATAAATAAAATATATTGATACAAATTACATTTTTATCCAATTTTATACCATGACTCAATTTAATATTTTATAATTGTTTTTCATATGACACGATCTAGATAGCAGGAGTGGAAAGTTTGTTGTAACATGCCTGGCGTTGAATGTGTCGTGTAGACCCTCCCAAAGGAAGAGTTTTTCGCATGCGTGACGAAAATGCGAGCAAGCAGGGAAGATTATTGCTACTTGACGAAGCGATCACGCGGATGCACAGGGTGTTTGAAACTTACGTCAGAGGTTTTCCGGGCCTTCTTGTTGGCCGGTTCTTCTCTGTTCTCGTCGTTCTCGTTGTCGGAGTGGCGGGAACTCAGGTGACCAATGTAACCTTTACGGGACTTGAAGTAAGCGTTACAGCTGTGGCACTTGAACAGCGGCGCCGGCTGGGTGACCTGGGTGGAGACGTGGAGTTTGTACTTGTGCCTGTACCAACGGGTTCGAGACGGTAGTACCTCGCCGCACCACTTGCAGACTACGGAACCGTCGTTTTGAATGAGGTATTCCAGCAGCTTGTAAAACAACGTTTATTTGGTTTTTTCTCTCCCTCTCTCTCTCTTTCCTTTTAATCATCCTCTCTCGCCCCATGGTATTCGCTCTATTTGCTCTCTCTTCTTAACTATATAACCTTCATTATAGATATCCCTCTCGATCTGACGTCACTTGAAATATCGAAAGCTCTAATATCGATTTGCTATAACGATCTATCGCTACAGGATTGGATTGGATTGGAATTTAGCTGCACGTACGGTACCATGAATCTGTTGCTCGAAATAAACCGTTTTAACGATTTCATTGTCGGAGAAAAGGATATTTTCATCGTTTTTTCTCTGTTGCTTTAAGTAGACGCCGAGTTCGTTTCTGTGGCGCGGTGTTGCGGACGGACGACACACCGACAGAAAAGGTGTCACCCGAGATAAACGGCGTGGAAATAAAATCTACTTCCTCGCGCGCAATTACGCAGAGAAAGTCTGGTTCAACGAACCCCACGTGCAAGAGCAAATGGCGCACTAATGAAAAAGATACGAAGGGCAAACCAGATAAGAGGTGCCCACGATGAGGGATTGCTCTTTGCGGCTGAATGTTCCCGGGTGCTTTCCATTCGGCTGCCATTATGGTAGCGCGTAAGAAATTTTAATGGCTCAGTTTTCGTGTTTTTACGTTTGTGCATCTATGCTTTTAAAGTTCCATACGCAGATTTTATAGTATAGAAATTAATTTGTAGAAAATTTCGAGAATTTGAAATTTAACTTTTTACTTTTTTATAATTTGAAATTTTCGAAACTTGAGGAGATATTAAAATTAAGAAAAAAATATTCCGTTTATATGATATTTTCTAAAAGACTTTCCAAAACATACTGTAGTTGGTAAAAAGAAGAAAGTCTATCAGATATTTTGTATTTTATTTAACGATTGAAATTTTTGTTCATAAGATGAGAACAAATGAATATTTCGAGTTTCGAAAATTTTGAAATTTTACAAAATTTCGGATATTTAGAAGTTATATTTCAACACACTCCTAATTTCTAGCTTAACATGAAATATTTTAGCGCAACGTATGAAATATATCAGTAAGCATTCATAAGATAGAATAGAAGAAAATTATATCTTATTTTCAAAATATTCGTTTATCGTTGTACTTGATTATCGATTTTACATGCTAATTGAACAAGTATTACAAGCATTTTATTCTCGTAAATGAATACAACGCTTATGCCGATAATTAGAGTAAACTAGAGTTTTTATTGAGCAATGAAAATGTAATTGGATGTTTTATAACTTGTAAATTAATATCCGACATTTGCATGACATACATGAACTAGAAAATTCAGTTCACTAGTGCCAATTCATTATTTAATAGCGACTTTCATTGTAATTTTAATGTTTTGAGAAATAACACATATTCTAATTGATAATAATTAATTTAAATGAACATGTGGAAATAGTATAATCAACTAAGTATAGCTCTCATAAATTTTATGTAAATATTACTAGTTATTTAACTGTAAAACTGATAAATAGATCATCTAAAGAATTTGATCTAGATTAACTTATTTCATCTTTAGTTATTTTCTGTGAATTCTTATAATTGTATAAATTGAATTTAAAATTTTAGCCAAGTATTATCAGATTGGAATTATGTTAATTTCTTCATGTTAAGTATTATTTATGTGAATTAATTTAAGTTAACGATTACCTATAATATCTTACAAAAAAACATTGTACACTGTTTCATATTTATCAGTGTAATAAAATGTAACTGTTACATTAACTGAAACATCAAAGTACCATCTGCATTCTATTAAATTAATTTCCTAACATTAAGCAACTGGAATGTAGTTCCATAATTCATAGTATGAAATAAATTGCGATAATTTAATATACTAGAAGAAATGAAAATAATTTTAAATATACAGGAAGAAGTAATTTTCGTTATTTATGAAACATGAGTACACTTAATATATCTTTGAATACCATTTTTCTAAATTTCTATGTAGACCTTTGTTTATAAGAAAAATACAAAGTAACAAACTTTTAATTTGTAAATGATTGTTTATAAATATCCATTTGTAGGCCGTTTAAATTCTGTTCTTGTAGTACTTATTTCTATAACTATTATAGAAAAATACACAAATTTAGATACTATACTATCAAGTAAATACAGATTTAATTAATATTCCTATATAATTCATAATTAACTTTTTAAGTAAATATTGTTCATGTTCAATAACTAATAATTGTGAAACATTTTAAAGTAATCTATTTAATACTTTTTTCTCATATTCTCCAAAAAGTATTATTTTACCTAAGATCGAGTAGTCTTTTAAAATCTATTTCCCTCAAAAATTAAATATTTTTCTGCTCAGAATCATATCTTTATACTCAAGCAAAATTTATAAAAGAAATATTTCTAAATTAAATCCATTCTTGAACATCTTAAAAACAGTGATTCTTCACTAACATTTAACATTTTTAACCTATCCTAACAACCACTACAAACTCCAAGAGATCCCCTATCCTAATTTACCAATCATCTATCTCCAAACACCATACACAACCCCTATACCCTTCTTCAATACTCATAAGACTTCATCCAATCTCTCACTACCTAGCATCAAGTGACACTATATCACTTTCCAAAACCTAACTCCATGCAGACCTAAGTCCACCTGGACTTATATCCTGCTTCACTCGACTTTGCCTACTTTTTCTTAAACAATAGCCTAGAGTAGAACAGAATAGAGTAAATAAACTAAAATGGCGTTTGCAAGTAAGTTCTCGACTATGATCCAGTTAGGACAAAACAGTTACAATAGAACTTGGAGCACGAAGGTTCAATCCTATCTCTAAACCAACTGTCGCGGATCATCCTGTCCTAGAACAAGGGTCCCCGACTCGAATGGAAAGCACCCTATCAGATCCGCGGCGTGGCAAGCTTTCTCAGCGGCCTCCTGCAGCTCTGTCCGTTTCTGTTGGTGCGATTTCCGTGAGGACGCCTCCTCGTCCTCAGAACGAAGCCGGGTGGCACAGCTGGTGCACTGCTTGAGGAAGCAGTATCAAAAGCAGCAGACCAACCAACCTGTTTCCTGACCTCCGGCTCAGCCTCTCCGGACTCCGACTTGGGTAGCAACAGATCACCCCGATCCTCCTCCCGGTCGGTGAGGAAGTGCATTCCGCTGACCACTCGCTCCGACTTGATGTACGTGCTGGACGTGTTGCCTTCGCTGAACGTCTCCTCGCCGCTCCTCGTCGCCGTCGTCGAGGGCGCTGAAGGAGGCGGCGGCGACGACGAGGACGACGACGTGCAGATCTCGAACGTGATGTCGCTGGGCAGACTGGGCAGCTGGTCTGGACAGACATGGAAAGAGAATAGGCACAGGAGTGTTAGTATTGCTCAGTTTGAACATTAGTAGTCGTATATGGATGTTGCACCATGAGGGATGAAGTCCTATGGGGTCTAGGAGCGTGTCTCACACTTGGGCTTCCTGGGATAATCGGGATAGGTGCGATGGTTAATTGGGGTACGGGTAATTTGCGATTTATTGCATTACAGAAATTCTAGGGATATCTGGGGAATTGAAGATTCGTGGTTCTTTGACCGAGGTTGTCTTCTGGATGATGGCGCAGAGGTTCGACTAATCTGAACGTTACTTAAGCGCGGATTTAACTGGACGAGTGACCCCTTCGACCGATTTCACGTTCACTGAACTCTCGCATAGGCGTGGAGAGTGAGGGCGACCAGTTCTGATAGAGTTACACGTTTCTTTGCCCTGCTTTAATGAAGGTTGCGCTAGTCGATACAAGAAATAAACGGTCGGATAGACTATTGCAGTTGTATATCACAAAGAGTTACAAAGAAACTACAATTAGATAAAAACAAATAAAAATAATAGTTAATTAAACTGTTATCGTTCTTATCGCCACCAGGCACCAATAATAATAGGTACATACGTACGTACATCGGAACAAATGTACAGCCAACGACCGACGATAATTGTGCGAACGTGTAGCATGATTTTCTTTATTATTACTGTTATATGTATATAACTTTTTTTTTTTTGCTTGTTTGTTTAA